CTGTTACATGTTGATGCAGGCGCCACGCAGCGTGCCGCGACGAGGCGCGCGTGACCGCGATAAACATATCAAATGTACACCGACCGTCCTCGCGAGAACTCATCTTCCATCCTTCCCTTGACGAAGTCCAGTCTCAAGGAGAGCAACCCGGCCCTTCTGGCTTGACGATTGCTGGCCACGTCTCTGGGCTTACCGGCTGGGAATCTCTTACGGCGGCAGGAAAATCTCGAGCCCCTGCTGCGGACCCATGGGGCACGCACTATTCTTAACCCGACACCGGTGTGGAACGTTACTGGCGCCTGCCCCGGTCCCAGCAGTGGCAGCTTCTTGTCGTCTGTCGCCACCTTTACAGTAGGCAGCGAGAGGACCGATGACAGCCGCTTTGGTGGTCACACACTCGATGTTTTGGGGCATATTGGCTGACGCGGTCACTTTCCTCATGCTCATCTTTTTTTTGAACAGACAAGGGCTTCATCTTCTTGGTTCTTTCGGTAAAGTCACGTAGAATGGAAATAATAAAATAATAAAAATATAACATAATAAAATAATTCTCACGACGTTTCGGTCACAACGCAAGCAGCCATTAGACAGAGTCTGAATGACTCTGTCTTCTCGACAGACCTGTTTTCCACCTGAGGACGGCTGCTTGCGTTGTGGCCGAAACGTCGTGAGAATTATTTTATTATGTTTTATTTTTACTATTTTATTATTTCCATTCTACGTGACTTTACCAAAAGAACCAAGAAGATTAATCCCTGCAGTCACGAAACCTTGAAATCGAAAATTAAAGACAAGGGCTTGACGACGACATAAGTGATTGGTGCCTGTGAAAGATGTGGCACTACTTGAGCGTATTGGCACAAGACAGAGAGGAATGACGAAATGTGCAGTGGACACCTACGGGGATATCTGCCCATGGGTCGTGATGACGATGAAGACGAATCTTTTGGTTTCTGTGCTATTTTTTTATGGGGTTAAAGAGCACCGTTGATGGTTTGGTTTTGATACTACCTGCGCAATGTGGTGCAACGCTATGCACCGCGCGTGACTTTGCGAGCGTACGCAAGTCCAAGACGGAGATGTGCCCCACACGGCAATTTACTTTCGCTACGCGGCAGATTTCGTGCCTTCGTTTCTCTAACCGCATCGGACGTGAGAGCCACGAGAGAACGAATTGAATGTAAGGCGGTGCCAACGTTCGAAATTAAGGGGGGGAGGAGGTCGTTTTTTGGATTAGATCGCTTAAATATAAATGTTGTCGATAAAATTGAACAGTTACTGCTGAAGTAGTGACTCATGGGCACATTTTGTTTACGTGACAAGCCTTGCTGTGTCGGATGGTGGTGGGTTAACGACACATTTATATTTATGCGATCTAACCCAAAAACAATCTTCATCATGAATATTGTTCGCGATAACCAACGTGTTAAACTGCTGCTAAAGTTGCCCTTCAAATAGAGTTCAGAATTTTTACCCACTGACCAATTTAATACTTTGCATTTAGTATGTGGAGTTAGAATTGGCTATCCTTGCACATGCTATGGCAGACTTAAATTGTTAATTCTAGATTTGAAGTTTTCGTGACTGCAAGGATCCATACTCTTTGGTTCTTTCGGTAAAGTCAGATAGATGAAAAATAAAAATAATAAAATGAAAACAACTAAATAAAATTCTTGCCCACTTCAACAATCTTCGTGCTTAAATAAAATCAAAATGGTATCCAATATTTGTTATTGTTTCAAACCTATTATATAATCATTGAATGCCTTGCAGTTATGTTAAATTGTCCAATCCCATTACGTAAATATGAGTATAATGCGTTCGTGTCATGTATTGCTTATCTAACATGTAGGATGTGCTGTCTGTTGTTGTATTTTAATTGCTGGCTCATTGTAAGGAAAATTAAATTACACAAATAGATGGCCGTTATTTATAACCCAGGTGAGAACCCATGGCCACCACATGTTTATGTTTTCCAATTCACAAATTGTGCTTCTTACTCAGCAGGTTTGTCCATTAATAAACACTTCCTGGCCGCCATCGGAGATGGTGTTTGACGGCGCTTGTATTTTCTTCAGCTATTGCATGATCCAAAGACAAGTCACGGTTAATGTATGTACGTATAACTTCTTTCGCACCATATATAGTCAACTGTGCTAACCAGAGGTACGGGAAACGACAACAAACTAAACAGCACACACACAAAAAACGTTGCCCTTGAAAATAGAGTTTACATTTTACAACAAAAAACCGGTACCGTCGCATTTCAGGAAGAGGTGGCAGGCAGGAGAGGGGAAATTCTGAACAATCGACAAATTTGGCGAAATAAAATCACCACATTTTACAGATGTCCCCTAGAGCTCTGGTGGCAGCTGCTGTGGTTCCCGTGACTGGCAAATCGAGCCGTAGCACATGGATGAGGTTCCGTCAATCACTGAACATGGACAGTTAAACCCTGGGGACAAGCTCATAAAACCAGCATGGCCACCAAATCGACCAGTGTGTGTCTCCGGGTGGCTCAGCTGCTGGTTCACTCCAGATTTGTTTTCGGAGGGAGTGGTACGCGTGTCTGCTCGGAAATGGTGTCCAATGTTTTCGCCTTCCCACGTTGCTCGGAGCTAAAGAAGCTGCCCAAGCACAGAGACATCGTGCCGGGCAACGATAACGCAACCGGTGGGAGACAAATCGTGCCAATTTGTTTGTTCGTGCCAAATTTTCTGTAACTTCAGATGACCTCCCGTGGTGTTTAAAATAAAATTGTCACGCAATTAATACATTAGAAGCGTATTCAGAGTGTGGACAATATATTATACATGCCCCATTGGGTGTCTTGAACGCCGTTTTTATTCTGTGTAATACACGAGCTAAAATTCTGAGAAATGGTGGCTCCTTCTCCACTGCTACCCACGCATTCTAGACTGCCCCCCACTCACACAGCTGTCCACGTTCCATTTAAAATTTTTAAGCCAAGGTTTCCTCCCGCTAATCCCTGTGCCAACAACTGTTTATATCTCTCCAGATGTCTCGATCCATCAATATATTTTTTCCCCACCACCCTGCTCTCTCCCGAAATCCAAACCCTAACCTTCCTTTCACCTGAACAACAAAAGCCCTCTTCTTGGTTCTTTCGGTAAAGTCACGTAGAATGGAAATAATAAAATAATAAAATAAAACCTAATAAAAATAATTCTCACGACGTTTCGGCCACAACGCAAGCAGCCGTCCTCAGGTGAAGACCAGGGCTGTGTTCATTCAGACGCTGTCTTTCCGACAGTCCTATTGTGTTTAAGTGAAAGGAAGGTTAGGGTTTGGATTTCGGGAGAGAGCAGGGTGGTGGGGAGACAGACCTGGTCTTCACCTGAGGACGACTGCTTGCGTTGTGGCCGAAACGTCGTGAGAATTATTTTATTATGTTTTATTTTATTATTTCCATTCTACGTGACTTTACTGAAAGAATCAAGAAGATGAATCCCTGCAGTCACGAAAGCTTTAAATCGAAACAAAAGCCCTCTTCCGTAGCCACGAAGAAGAACGCTCGTTCGTATATGCACTACGCAGGGTCATTTAGCCCCTTCTAAAATATGGTTTGTATTGTGAATTACATTCTTTTGATTACATCGCATGGCGGTCGTGAGAGATAGTGGGCCTGGCAGTTCATTGGGTGGGTTTTTACGCATCCAGCAGTGGATTGAGCACGGCCACCACCGCCTGCCTGCCTGGTTATGACAATGATCCATCGCATTGTTCGACTCAATGACGGATCACAGTAGCCAGGTAAGGGCCCAATTGAGAATTTCATCAATCTGCCACCGCACGGGGGAAACGTGCCGGGCGATGGCTACGCGATTAACATATCAATGGGCAGAGCAGCAGCACGGCTCTGTACAGTGCACGGGACACGTGCGGCGATGTGATCAGGGACGTGGGGAAGGGTAAGAGAGGCAGAATTGGCTGTCCTTGACAGTCGGTGAACATCCCCCCCGGCTCACGCAGACGCGGCTCCGACGACAACCTCATCAGTAAGGCCGGCACGTGCGAGGGACCTGTCTCCCCTTGCCACGTAGAAAAGCAGGGATTTCATCTGCCTCCAAACCCACACTCCAGTCCCCGTGACCCGATCACGTTCCACGTGGGGTGGGGGGTGGGGTTGACCCTACTCGCTCGCCTCCTGCGTGAACGTCTCACGCCGAAACATGCCTCGCCAATGGAGCAAGCACTTCGACACGGAGAGCGACGGCGAATTCGAGTGAATGTAAATCGGCTGCCCACCACCACCCCCCCCCCCCACGTCAATCCGTCAATGAATCGTCGCACGTGGAGCAATCATCGGGCGCGTGCAGCGCGTTGACGATGATTTGAACATCCGCCCGTTCAACGGCGCAGGTCGGATGAACGGACGAGCGTGCGGGGAGCACGTGGAGGAAGACCGTTCAGCCGCACGTGGTGGTGGTGGTGTTGGTGATGGTGTTGGTGGTGGTGTTGGTGGTGTTGATGGTGGGGTTGGTGATGGTGGTGTTGGTGTTGGTGGTGGTGTGGTGGTGTTGGTGGTGTTGGTGGGGTTGGTGGTGGTGATGGTGGTGGTGTTGGTGGTGGTGATGGTGGTGATATTGGTGGTGTTGGTGATGGTGGTGATGATGTTGGTGGTGGTGGTGTTGGTGATGATGTTGGTGGTGTTGGTAGTGTTGGTGGTGGTATTGGTGGTGAAGATGTTGGCGGTGTTGGTGGTGGTAGTGTTGGTGGTGTTGGTGGTAGTGCTGGTGGTGGTATTGGTGGTGTTGGTGATGATGTTGGTGTTGCTGTTGGATCGCGAGGCCTGTGACAGTCACTAAACGACGCCAGGGCGACATGCGCACGCACTCAGCGGCACGCGCGTTGCACCGTTAGCAGCAGCAGAGCGGGCGGCATTGCCGATGATCGTGCACAGCCCAAACGATGGGGGGGGTGGTGGTGGGTGGGTGGACAATCGTTGTCTTTCGGTGTGTGTGTGTGTGTGAGCGCACCTCCGCCATTCTTGTAGCACAGGTAAGGAAAGCGCCAGACGTTGCCCAGACCCACGGCGAAGCCGACACACGACATGATGAAGTCCATCTGCCGCGTCCACGTCTCCCGCTCTCTGTACTCGCCCCTGGGCTGGGGACTCACGCCACCCGCCTCTGCGCAGCCATCGTGATCCCCCTTGACACCACCGCCACCACCGCCGCCTGCAGCTGCCACCACCATGACCCGCGTGTGGTCCCCGGCGTCGACCACTGCGCCATCGTCGCTTGAGCCATCGCAGGGACTCTCCGGACAGAGTTGAAACTGTCTCATCTTCATCTTCACACGACCAACAACACCACCGCAGCTGCTGCTGTTGCTGCAGCCACGTGCCCTTCGTTCACCTCTTTCTTTCCTCGACACCCAAAATAACGCAACAGAATAGAGACTTCTTCTCCCACCGCTTCCAAACGCACCCAAACCCACCCCCGGCTTCTCAGCGCACGCGGTTTGGATGAACCAAACAACCCCTCGGTCGGGACGGGCTACCGAGCACCACCTCCACCTCCACCACCACTCAGCCCGACCCGACCGCGGTGCGTTTGGCTCTGTTTTGTCGTAAAGAGAAGACTCGTTCTTATTTTAGGTGTCGCGGCCGAAGGGAATCAGAAGCAATCTACAAAACACTTAAATGAGAGCCTGAAGAATCGCATGGGATCCGAGAAAAGGAGCCGAGGCGAGCGGGGACGCGCACTGACGAGGTTCGCCTTCAAGCTCTCATCGCCACTGCTTCGCGCTGCAGCCAGATCGCTGTGTCGTCTCTTCTCTCTCTCTCCTCTCTCTGTTCTCTGCTCTGTTCTCTGCTCTCTCTCAGCTCTTCTCTTCACGCCTCTCGTCTGGCTGCTGCGTTTGCGCTCTCCCCGCGTGCGCCGCAGCCTCTATTTATACTCGCGTAATGGTGTCCACGTGGTGGTCAATCGCGGAGCCCTCCCCCTCCACTCCTCCCCCCTCCCTCCTCCACCCTCCACTCCTCCCTCCCTCCTCCCTCCTCCCTCCCTCCTCCCTCCTCCCTCCCTCCTCCCTCCTCCCCCCTCCCTCCTCCACCCCTCCCTGCCCCCTCCACTCCTCCTCCTCCCCCCCTCCCTCCTCCTCTCGCTCTCTCCAGCCCTGCTTAGGGTCTCTGGGTTGGTGGGAGGATGACGCGGTGGGGTGCATTGGGGGGGTGGGAGGATGACGCGGTGGGGTGCATTGGGGAGGAGGTGAGGAGGAGGGAGGGAGGAGGTGGGAGGGGAGTAGCAGCAGCAGGAGGATGAAGAGGGGGGTAGTGGGGACGCGTCTTTTTTTGGCCCGGGTGGATGGGAGGAACCTCTCCATCTGCGGGGGTTGGGGGGGGGGGTACCGGTGGGCGGGTGTCATGGTCATGGGGTTGATGATGTTGCGGTGGTTCGGGAGGAGGAGGAGGAGCAGGGGAGAGAGGGAGGCAGGGAGGGAGGGAAGGGGGAGATGGATGATGAGAGGGGGTGGGGGTTGGGGTGCAGCGGCCGTTTCAAGATCCTTTGCTCCTACCCGTGTCGTGACGTAGCGAGCGTGCGTACGTGCAGCGACGTGCGTACGAACGCGCTCGGGAACCGAGACTGAGCGCGGAGGTGGGAGGGGTGATGGTGGTGGGGGGAGGGGTGATGGTGGTGGTGGTGGGGGGGTGACCGACCAAAGTCTCTCTTTGCGCGGCGGCCGCCGCATTTGCATTTTGGACGTTGCTCCCGATGTGCCCGCACACGCACCTCGACGTTGTGACCACCGTGCGAATGAACACGCGAAACGGATGCGCTCCTCCCACTGTCCCTTCGTCTCCGTCGGCACCTTTATCTGTGCGCCCTGTATCTGTGCGCCCTGTATCTCATCCTCGACGCCAGCAGCAAATCGCGCGCCATTGGCTACTGCGCAGAGCAATTTCGCGTCCCCATCTATCCTCATTGCACCCCCCCGACACCCCTTTCTCTCTCTCTCCGCATTACGCAAGGACTAATCTTCGCTTGAGATGAAGAGCAGTTGCTGCTCACACACACCCCCCCATCCGTTTGCATTTGACAATCGTTGCTGTGTGCGCCACGCGGACGGAGGAAGGCGGCACGTGAGCGGATTCATAATTCACGTTGCAAAACGAAGACGCAATGCGCTTCTTTTGCGTGCGCGCGTGTTTGAAATATTAATTATAAATGATAAAGATGACGAGGCAATAGCCACGCCGTGTCGGCCTCTGTGTGGGGGGGGGGGGGGTGCTGGTTCTTAACCATACTTTATCACGTTAGCGAAAAGGGATGACGACCTCCAGCACCTGGTTCAGACGTTCGTCGTCGCTGCTGCTGTTGCGTTCGCCGTGGCTGGGACGCGAACTCGGGCGAGCGGGTTTCACAGCGCAATGCGCTAACCGCCTATAGCAGTCGCTCCACCCCGTCCATTGACGTGGGCCCGGGTGGGGGGTTTCGTTTCCATGCGCACGCCTTCGTGAACTGCAACGCGTTCGAATGCGACGCAGGCACAGGAATGCACTTCTCCTGATTACCGCCCATTGCCTCCCCAATCACGAGCGGAGCACTGACGTCAGCTGAGCGGATCCTCATTCAAAATTCCGATATGGCCACAAATTTAATTACATCCCACAAATCGTGATTTTTTTTTTATTTCAATGCTACCTCGACGAGTGCGTCCGCGCATCGCGTTTATTTGCAGGATCGTGACTTGTGGAGGCATTTCATCGAGCAGTGGATTGACCATGGCTGACGGTGGTTATTTGACACATTTTTTTTTGGACTGAAAATCGCGCTTGGAATTCCTGTCGCGGGTTTTGTTCACATTTTTTTCACGTTGAAGACGCGTGTTTCATATAGTGTTTTGCCATTTGTTCGCTGCCTTTCACTGCGGCCGTTCAATGATTTGCCTCCTGAGCCCAGCAGAGCGCACGCAATTGTATGTTGGAGACCTAAGGCTGTGCCGAATAACCCGCTCACATTCAAGCAGTTTGCTAACGACGGTTACTTATCCCGCACTGATGCATCCTAATAACGATGATGATGATGATGATGAAACCGTACAATAGCGAGGTCGTCTGGCCCTGCTGCCGTTCGTGGAGGTGGTGGTCGTCGTGGCAAGGTGGTGCGGATAAAGAACCTCTGGAACGATGATGTCACCGTGTTGTTTTTTTGTTGTCGCTGTTTGAAGACGTAGCTCTCTCGTTTCGGCCTCTGCGGAGGTTATAACTCGGATCTTGGAAGCTCAGCAAGTTTGAGCCTGGATAGTGCTCGCATGGGTACTCACTAGTTGTTAGTAACTTCCTGTTAATCGGCTACGGGGCCACGTGGCGGGCAGCAGTTTGCAGTGTAGAATACATCAATCGTCTATGCTGCCCCACCTTCACCAACGTGGTGAAGTATAGTCAAGTTACAAAGACAAAGATCACCCGTGTAGCCTTACTAGACTGTTGGGTCAAGTGCTGTTAGCGAGCACCCATGAAGGCCGGCACGGCACACGAGGGGGTGGGTGGCCAGCACCACGCCCGGCCGCCTTTGTCTCCCCAGTGGCGATTTATTATTTTTACACCGCACCAGGTACTCATTTGAGGCTGAGTCGATCTAGGGGAGGCCCAGGACCGGTTGCAAATACTCGTCACTGGTGTTGGCCGTGAGCGTGAATCGAACTCGGGTCGCCGAGTGCGTAGCGCAGCGCGCTAACAAATAGATCCCTTCACGACCAACACAGCGTCTGGAGCCCCGTACACAGCGGGGAATAAACACGACGCGTTCTCCATTACGAACAACAGAAGTCTCTTTGTTGGTCTCTGGTGGTGGCGTGGTCCGGACTGTCGGCGTTTCCCGTGAGTCCGTGGTGGCAGAGTGGTCACCTTTCGATTTCCGCTCACGACCAAACATCGGCGAATATTTGAACCGGTGCTGGGTCTCCCTCCCCTGGGTTGACTTAGCCTTTGATCAGCACCTGATGCGATTTGTAAGCATCAGCACTGTTGCTGTCCAACCCCCCCCACCCCTCCTCGGTGTGGCGTGCCGGCTTTCAACGGTGCTCGCCAACAGCACTTGCTGTTTGTGTTCGAGGCTACATGGGGGGTCTTTTGTCTTTGTTAGAGTTTCTTGGAAGCGGATTTGCCGTGGCCCTGATTAAAGCCACCGCACGTGTTGACTTGAGCCGTAATCACGTGCGACGCTACTCTCGCCCAAGCCATGCATCAGCATCGGTGATTGTAACCAACACACACACACAGGGTATTCCAACTCTTCATTGCTATGTATCGTAGCGAGCCTTTCACAAAACTGCCATACAATGAAATGTACTTGACCGAATGTGTGTGTATAGGGGTGGGGGGGCGTGGTATTATGGGTTAGCACACTGGCATTGAAATCCAGGCCCCACCCGCCCTCCCCATCCTTTCGGTTTGAATCGATTTCCCGGCGCGGCAGCTGAAACTCTTGTTCTGTTCACCCAGTTGGTATAAATGCGCCACACCAGAGTCGACTGGCAGGTCGCCTGTGGTGGAGTGAAGTGTGGGTAACTTCACCACCACCACCACGAGTTTTCCAAGACATCTGTGCCAGCGTGGATGAGTAGGCCGAAATTGCCCTCGACATTGCGGGCTCTCCTCTAGAGCTCCCTTCCGTGGAGGGCCCTTTCGCCATCGGGGCTGTACCATTTACCCTTTTCGAAGACGTCCTACTACCGTATGGGTCAGAGTTCAACGTTTACAGGGCAAGGCGTATGTCAACACCGGACGTTGAATACAGGTGTGTGGTGGAGGGTGTGGCGAATCCCTGCATGGAAGGGTCGCGATAGGGCATCCTTGATATTCGCCGGAGGAAAACCAACGCATTTTTTTTAATGTAAAGCTTTAAATTTCGGGATCACCACTCCCCTACCCGCGCCTCCACTCACCCACCTTGGCAAGTCTGTGTATGGAGGATGTTCGCAATTTCGTGTAAGGAATAAGATAAACAACTAGGGTTTCGGAATGGTACGTTGCAGTAAAGGGGAGGTTGTGATGGGTCGGACACGTGTGCAGGATGGAGGTCGCGTTACTGAGGCCGTCAATGGGAGTACCTACCCAGTAGTCGGCAACCAAACGTGCATATCTAAAGCCATTAGATTGTAAGATAATTATCTGAAGGTCAGTTGTTGACCCTTTATCAAATATAATACAATGGGAATCTATATAGCGTCTAGACTTAACATTTCAAGACGCTGTTCAGAAACAGTGGGCATATTTGATTGTTTGTTTTGAGACGGTCAGTCATAGCCAGAGAAAAAGACATTTGTTCTTGAGCCTGGGACTTTAACAGCGGCGGGGAGTCGACAGCACGAATGTCTGAGAAGGGAGTTCCAGACCATTGGGGGGGGGGGGGGGCAGCAAAGGAGAATGAAAAACTTGGGAAGAACAGAATCCAGCATGAGGGAGCGATGATGAGATCTATTGTCACGAATGGCGTTGGCCGTGATTTTATCTTGACATCATAACCTGACTTGTAACATTCATGGATTGTTTGAGTCATGGGTTTCCAATAAAAAAAATTTCAGCGGGTGACAGGTGAATAAGCAATCGTACACACGCGTTTCCGAGAGAGTCTTACACCACCGTTCATTCGGGTCAGCGGGTCTGGATGTCTGCCGGTAAAAATGTTGTGACGGATTGTCGAATGTCAAACGAAAGGTCTCCACGATCTGGGATACTCGCTGCACCGGGACGTCACCTTAACCACCATAGCAGCTGCACGTGGAAAATAAAACACTTCCCACGAGAAACATGACCTCGTCACGAGGCTGCCTGGCCATGTAAAGGGATCCAGTTCTGTGCGACCTCCGGGACCCATCTGGCTCGAGTGGATTGCAAGACGCGCATTGTCGGGGTCTCTCTAATGGGGCTCGCTGAG